AATCAAATACATTTTTTTCTTATTTACACTATGATAAATTTATATTTATTAAAATTTATTTTATATTTTTGCACACTGTTTATTAGCTTCACTTGTATGTTTGTATGTTTGTAACCGACTTCTTTGGGCGGGATTTTGACCCACTTTAAACGACCAGATTTCGTTCAAACTTTGTAGATTTATCGAGGACCGATGACAATACAATAATTTGATAAAATTATTCCATTTTTCAATTTGTAAAATATGATTTTTGTTAATTTATATAATTGCACGCCTCATAGCGCGAAGCGCGTGAGGTTGTGCTTTATACTCGACTTGTTACCCGTGTAAAAAAAAAATCGTTTTAAAATTGTCGTTCGTTTAAGATCTTAAACGTGATACAAACTAAGACTATTTTAAGACTCTTTTAAGACGCCAAAAGGAAAATTCCGAGAGCAGATTTTTGAAAATTTTGTTCTCGAATTTGTTGTGAAAATTAATTTTTAGATGATTTTACGACTTTCTAACCGCAATATTTTTGAGTAAGATGTTTTTAAATTGAATTTAAAATTGTTAAAAAATTATTATCTGACAATTTTAAGACTTTTTTAAGACGTTCCGTTTTAATGTTCCGGGGCTCTGTCGCTGTTAACCCATCTTAAAATAGTCTAAATTTTTTGTTAAGATTTTTTTAAGACTAATTTAAGATAATTTTGAGACAATTTAAAAACGCTCCATAATAATTTTCCGGAGCTGCCACTGTGATGTTATCTGAAAATAGCCTAAAAATTTTTTAAAATTTTTTTCTTCAGATTTCTTTAAGACTATTTTAAGATTTTTCAAGACTATATAAAAATTATTTTAAAACTTAAATCTTAAAATAGTCTTAGAAAAATCTTAAAATCGTCTTGAAAAAATCTTAAAATAGTCTTAAAAAAATCAAAATAATTATTAAAAAATCTCGGAATTTTTTTTTTTTTGGCATCTTAAAAGAATCTTAAAATAGTCTTAGTTTGTGTCACGTTTAAGATCTTAAACGAACGATAATTTTAAGACAATTTTTTTTACACGGGCAATTTCATTATTAATAGAAGATTCCATTAGTCTATTAAAATTCTATTATTAGTAGAAAATTCCATTGTTTCATTGAGATGCTATAAAAAAAAGTGTGCCATAAAAATTCTATTGTTAATAGAACGGTTCATTAGTCTATTAAAATTTAATTATTAATGGAAATTCTTACAATTCCATTGATTTCTTGATAATATTGAAATTATCATCAATAGTCCATTAATTTCTAAAAAGTTTATGATTATTATTAATTTCTACTGTTTCACTAAAATTATTTATACTATTAATTCTATTATTAATATAATATTCTATTAGTCGATCAAAATTCCATTATTAATAGAAAATTTCATTAGTCCATTGAGATGCTATCAAAAGAATGCGTCTTAAAAATTCTATTGTTAATCGAACATTCCATTAGTCTATTAAAATTTAATTATTAATGGAAAATTTTATTAATCCATTAATTTTTTATTAATAATGGAATTATAATCAATAGTCTATTAATTACTTTAAAATTTATATTCATTAAAAATTTCTACTTCTTTACTAAAATCATAAGTATTAGTAATTCTATTATTATTGGAACATTCCATTAGTCCATTAAAATTTCATTATTAATAGAAAATTCTATTAATTCATAATAATTTATTAATAATCATTAATAATACTACTATTTCTATTATTAATAGAAAGTTCTATTGATCTATCAAGATTATAGTAGCAAAATTTTCCATTAAAATTCCATTATTAATAGAAAATTTCTTTTTTCCACAGAAATCCCCAATATTTCTTCATTTTTATTTTAATCAATATTAATTTTTTCAGGTGACAAGGCCCCAGTAATTCTCAAAGAAGAAAAGCCTCCATTACCACCGCCAGAGTACCTTCGTTCACACGATGGCGCTGACCAGCCAATGCTAGCTCAAGAAAATTCCGAGGAGCCTTATCAACCCCCACCACCATTCGCCCGAACTTCAGACACGACCCGCCAAAACAGACCAAAACCCACGCCGACATACAGAAAACCACCTCCTTATGTGCCTCCCTAACAAAATTATGAGCTGCACTCGTCGACGCGGCGTTACATGACCGCCATGTTGGGCGAACCGACAGCATCTACCGCGGAACTCCGTGAGCAAATATTTCATCGAATACAAGGCCATACTTCGAGATTTCGCGACTAATTATTTATCATTAATTGATTAATTATTAATTATTATGGTCACATGTTGCCTAATTGAATTATGTTTTGTTAAAAACGAATCTCACTATCAATTAACCTCCTTAATCATTAATCAGTGCCATTTACAAGCAATAAAACGCCTAATTAACGATTAATCAGTCGGATATTTCCGATTTTTCATCACAAGTGTTAATTAATTAATTATTTAATGATTAATTGTTTATTAACACTTAAATTATTAATTGATCCTCAGAAATCACTGCCAGATATTATTTTTTTTTTTACTTAATTAATTTTATAAAATTTTTGATGTTCGATATTAGACTGCAAATTAATTGATTAATAATTTAATTATTAATTACAATTAATCGCATTTATTTCAATCATCGCACAAAATTATTAAAAAAAACAAGTTACCATGCCAAAAAATCCGCTAATTATTTTTAAAAATATCAATAATTGCCAAGTTTTTGAACACTTTAAGACCATCTGGATAATTACACTAATCGATCCCAAGTAATTATATCTAATTAAGATAATTGCCAGTAATTATCAATTAATAAGTCTGCTGATGTGTTATTAATAAATAAGTTGACAAATAATTTTAATATGAGGTTACATCTGCGTCTATTATTACGAATAATAATAACATTAATATACATATAACATTAATAAATTATCATTCATTAATCATAACGCGACACATTTATTGCGCAATTCATTCAAATGTCAAGTACTTTATTAGTCTACCTCATCTTTGTTACTTAAAATTTTTTAACACCCAGTTTTAAGTCGATTAAGGCCATTAATCATCGATTAATCGACGGAAATTTTTCTGAGAATTTTTTTGTCCAGCTAGATGGATTTATAATTAAATTCCCTAAAGAATGAGTACCCACATGCCATATTTTAAAAATTAATGATTAATCGTCATTAATTCATTAATTAATCGATATTCATTAATCATAGAAAGTTTTAAAGAACATTTTTGAACTCCCGAGAAAATTTTAAAGAGAATTGATGTGTAGTACGATAAAATTTGAGGAAGTGATTAATAGCTTGTTAATGATTAATTGATGATTAATCGATTAATTAGCAATTAATCATGAAAATTTTGTAACACATCTATGAAATTCTATTAAAGAATTCTAAAATTAGATTCTTAGAAATGATTAATGACAAATCGTTGATTGTTAACAATTCATTATTTAATTAACAATTAATTAATTGATTAATCGGTCGATTAATGGTTAAAACTTGAGTAAAACAAATTTCTCAAGTATTTATTTGGAGTCCTCGTTATAAAATGCGTTGAAAAATGACCCAAATTTATGAATCTGTCGTAGGTGATTAATGATTAATTAATCATTAATCGATTAATCGACCACTTAACTCTTCCGAATATAGCGATGTGGGTACTTAAATTAAAGGGAATTTGACACGCGATCCGAATAAGCTGATAAAAAAATAAAAAAAAATTTTTTTAATGAATTATGTGATAAATTGATAGGATCTAAATTATATAATCAAGATAAATGTGTCCCATATCATGCTTTTATCATACTATCATATCATCGCAATTTTTTGCGTCCGTACTAACAAGATGTTTATTGAATAAAATGTAAATTATAATTGTATCGATCAGCAGAAGTATGAATATATATTAAACATAAGTACTAACGGACGTTTTTATATTATATATAAATAATAATATTAATAATAAATAAATTGTAAATGTGTACTAGTGTAAGGAATTAATAAGTAATAATGATAATAATATTAATTATAATAATAAATGGATGAATGAATTTAATGATATAATTGTACGTATAAGAATATTTTTGTCTGAACTATAAACACATAACGCTTTTCAACGTATAAATATAATTAATTAATTAATAATGTACTCATACGAGATTTTTCTATCAACAAAAATCTTGAATGACTATTCGATAAATGAATTATATATATATATATATATATATATGTATCTACATGACTAGACAAGTATAATCAGTATATGTAAAGAAATATTCAATTAATAAAAAGTCATTTTAGGATAATATATTTTTTGTTTTAATTATTTCCCAAAAAAATTCTTACTGTCACCCCTTTTACAAAATTTTCTTTTTAATATCATTAATAATGAAAAAAAAATTTTTATCTTTATTATAATCTAATATATTTTTTAATAGTACCAAAAATTCCCGATAGGCGGCGCATAGTCGACAAAACTTCTCGCTGTAGGATTGTTAATTTGTAATTACTTAATCTCAAAATAAATGATTTTTTAATTTTTAATTTAATTTCAATCGAATTTAGAAATTTGTCGCCAAATTGTCTATAAATTTGAATAATATTTCCAAATAATTATAATTTTAAACAAAAACATTTTTTGTCATTTACAAAATGGACTTTAAAATAAATTGAAGTAATATTACGTAATTGTTTTGCAGAAATATTATATAATCTATAAATATTAAAAATTTATAGTCCATTTGTTAGTAATATTTTTATTTTATCTCTCAAAAGTATAATAAATTATCAGAGTATACTCGGTTTCCTCTCGTTACATGATTGCATAACAGAGAGTTTCATAGAATTAGTCGTTTCCGTTTAAATAATGTTTCCTTATATTTTCATAAAATCCATCGTTTTTTTTTTTTTTTACCTAAAATTAGAAAAAATTTCTAACATAAATATTCATCAAATATTATTAAAGTACATAATTATTTTTATCCAGTAAAAACTAATTTTATCTTCTTTAAAATTGAGGAAAAAATTTACATTTATTGCGAAATAAACTCTTGATCTTTAACAAGATGTTTTCATCAGATGTTTTAATTACTCTTGTTATCCAGTATTAATTAATTGTTAATAGTATTGTGTAATACAAGAGTTATTTTTAATTTAAATATACTAACAAGTTTCAAGAACAAACAGAAGTATTCTCCTTTATTCCTCTGAGTGTTATTTAAAATATAGTTTCTAAAATGACCGATAGGTGGCGAAATGTAGGAAAATATTTTCACCTGCAGAGCGGTCGGCTGAATAGATAAGTTGTAAAAATTATATGAAATTTTTATTTTAGTTAAAAAATATATTATATTGATTCAAACTTTAAAGAAATTATTATAATAATCATTTAAAGTTTTTTTTTTTGTATTATTAAGCTATCTTTAATTTCACTCATTGAATAAAAAGTTTAGAGAATTATAAGAATTTTTCTTTTCGTTTTTAGAATATTTTAAGGCAAATAATTTCAACGGTTAGCGATAATGACAGAGTTGCATTCGTTTGTGAATTTATAAAATTAAATTCGGTAACAAAATTATATTGAATGTAGTGAATAGCTTCGATATCTTTTGATTAATGGTTATTCCATAAATTTTAACTTCTTTTGGTCTTATAAAGTTTTATAATAAGAATAAAATCTTCTTTTTCGGACTTTGGATAGTCGAAAAATTAGAACGTTGAGCATTAAATCTCCCAAAATTTTCATTTTCTTATCACAGTCTGAAGAAAATATTTTGTGACTCTTTATTTGATAAATATTAAAAATTTCTATCTGACAGTAATGGATTTGCTCATTCTTAAAGTACTAGAATTGAATTTACGCGCGCAAGCGCGCGCCTTGACTATAGAGTTTGCATATATTTTCATGCTTATGATATATTCGACCAATCACGTTACGAATAGTTTGATGCCACATACATTTCATCTCAATTTTATTATGGAATTATAAAAAATACTTTAAACATTAATATAACTATGTCAAAATTGTCGATTAGTATTTTAACAGATATTTTAATATCCAAAGGTTTAAATTTCTATATTATTTCCGAAATTATTTCTGACAATTTTTCAGTACACTGAAAAAAAAGTTTTTTTCCACCCAGAATACAAAGTATTTTTATGCAAGTTTTTTTATATCCAATATACGTTTTCTTGATATAAAAAAACTGGTATTTTTCTCCTGAGAATACCTAATTTTTTTCTGGAGCTAAAACTTTATACTGCGTTACCATAGCAACCGCAGCGGTGGCGCCGCCAATTCTCTGACTTCTCTCCAATTTCACAGTCCTGGCGTGTTTGTTTAGATCATAGGAAAGTTGTATATTCTAATTTATTGTTTATTTTTATTAATTTTCACATGTGGAATTTTTTAATTAATTTTTTTTTTATAATAATCTAATTGCCATAAAATTTAAAAAAAATTTTTAATGTCTGTCAACTTCAGTGTCATTCTTAAATTTAATTATTATAATTTTACTTATTTAATTTTCTTAAATTTAATTATAATTGATAAATTAATAATTATTAATTTATTAATTATAATAAAAAAGATCCACCGTATCATAAACATTTCGTATGCATCTGTGTCAAATGAATGACATTAAAGTTAGCAGTCCCTTAACATTTTTTTAATTTTATTTAACGAAAAAATTTGTCCCAAAAAATCATTTTTAAAAAATTGCATTTTTTAGTTTTAAAAATTTTCAAATGTCAATTTATTTTTATAATTTTTTTTTGCCATTTATTTGTTATAGAATTTAACAAATTATTAAATATATGCTAAGTTAAATGACATATCAAATGAGGTTAAGTCGGCCATATTTTTATTTTGGTATTTTGCTGAGAAGGAAACCGAGTTTTTTAAAAATCACCATACTTATTAGTGTAGGAAAAAAAACTTTGGTATTCTCCACACAGGTATACCAGTTTCTTTACTGGAGGGAAAAATTTCCTTGGTGGAAAAAAACTTTTTTTTCTGTGTAGAAGTAATTCAATAAACTGTTTCCAAAATGGATTGATTCTCTGAACGAAGCCAATGCATCAAAATTTAGTTTTGAGACATTATTCTCAAAATTACTTAATAGACGATCAAAGTCACAAAAGAATTAATAA